AGATTGGACTTAATCTTCTCACTGCCAATACGGGAAGCGACGAGTCAACGGTGGATGATGGATTGTCTGTGGATATGGAAGAGAAACGTACAAAGTGTGAGGTACACTTATTAAACAAGTACCTCATCTTTTAAATAATTGAAAAGAAAATAAAAATAAATAGCTGATTTAATTTGTCAAAACATGAAACATCGTGGTCTATTGTCCACACGTTGCATAAGATTTAAAATTAACATGGTAAAATATGTAATAATTTATAATATATTGATTATTTGTGTATTTAATATTATATAAATTTAGTGTTTATAATAAATAATTATCTAAATTAGAAAACTAAGTTTTTGCACCAAATTGTTGTACAAATACAATGTTATATGCAAAAAGAGAAAAGACTGTTACAACATAAGAAAACATTTTTGTTGACACAAATCCTTAATTTGTATGTATTTATCTATATTCACTACGACTTCCTAAAAAAACGTTTGTAAAAATCGATTGATCAGACATGTTATAGTATATTTTGCTTCTATAGAGACATCTGCATATCCTCAACAGAAATGTTGGAATGCATCTTTCTGTTTATTTCATTAGAATCTTGAATCATAAGTAGAGAATAATTGATACTTGATTGTATTTGTATCTCACTTTATTTGTCAATTTGCTGTGATATTAATTTTTCACATTGATTCATTGGTAAAATAATTTTTTTCTCTAGATTTACAATTTGTGGTGGAGTAAGATTTTCTTTCGAAAATCTTGGTTAGGAGAGTTATTTTATCCAACACAACTTTTTTAATTGTATTAGGAAGTGATTGGTAAATTGGCTTTGAAAACTATGAAAATATTTAATAAAATGTTATGCATCCTAAACCCCATTTTTTATATATCACATCATTTTTTTTTCATGTTATACATTTTTATTAAAACTTATCTTCTGTGATTTTTGTTTTAAAATCAGAGTTACCTATATAAAAGCCAAAGTTTTAAGTTTTAAACGTTTTTTGTATAGTATACTGTTTAATTTGGTAAATAAAAA